CCAGTGTGTGCCTTGAAAAATGTTTTCAGTAGTGTCAAATTTGTTCCCACTGACCTGCGGATAGGATTTTGGGGATTTCAGCTAACTCTTTATTCTCTGTAGCATTTGGGATTTGGAGAGAGAGGTATAATTAAAATCCATGGATAATTCTCTAATCTCCTTTAGCCTATTAACAATGCTATTAATCCTTTACTAGCTCTACTTAGCCGCAATGACTGGAGTATTATCGCTCTGTTTTTTATCTTTTGCCTTGTGATGGTAAAAATTATTACCATATCGTAATTATTACCTATTAAGGTAATATTTAGTGATACTTACTTTGTTCCAGCCATTGTTTCTAAGTGCTTGACATGTATTAATTTAACCTTCACAACAACACAATGAGGTTTCTCATCCCTAGTTGACAGATGAGGAAACTGAAGCCCAGGATAACTTGCCCAAGGTCACATACCTATTAAGAGGTAGAACCAGGATAGAAAGCTGCAAGCTAAGAATGGGAAAATGATGTAAAGCCAGAGGAGCATTGGGAAGAAATGAAGGAAAGAGCCTGGCTATTTCATAGTTCAGTGTAATTAATAGTTTTTGATAGTTTGTTGTGTCTAAATAGAAAACTAGAATGAGTCAGTTTCATGTGATGGGCTGTATGACTCTTTGTATCTTTCTGTTTGTGCATGTGTGTGTATTGACGTCCTTTTAATGCTGTAAAACACAACAGAATGTGTCTGGTCGTTGTTAGAGATTTTTGTTTCATGAGCTGTTTCCTCAAGAGAGAAATTAAGTGAATGTGTCTGATGTTCACTTTAGTGTTTGTTTTTAACAAAGCCCTAAAGAGAGACCTAATCTCACAGGAGGAAGTAATTATAGAAAGTCTGGCGCCCATTTTTTTTCCCAAATAGAAACCTTTTTCCTTCCTTTTATTATAAAAACTAGTACATGCTCACTGCAAAGACCTTTATAAAAGTAAAATTCTGCAATTCCAATACGCAGGATTAACTTTACACAATTTGAAATAAATATTTCTGGACACCATTCTTAATTTGTAAACACACACAAATATGTTTTGGGATTTTTTTAATGCAAAATTAGTAATCTTTTGTACACTCAACACTGTATCTTGGACCTCTTTCCCCATCAATGTCTTTTTTAAAGCCTTCAGAATAGTTCAGTGTATGGATACACGAAAATGCATTTAAATGGTTCATTGTTGCCCTTAAAAATATGTGAACGCATGCTTCTGTCATCTTAAAGTTTGAGTTGAAATTCATTTTAATATCAATCTTCCTTCTTTGAACTTTATTTTTTTTGTCTGTAAAATGTGGAATTCGTACTGGTCCACCTCTAAGATATCTTCCAACTCCATATTCTATAATTCCAGTTCTGCTCAGAGAATTTTTAGAACTGCTAACTGCTCCCACAGTGTCGCTACCCATCTTCTGCACTCTGGCCACATCTCTGTTTCTTCCTCTCAAAATGAGAATAACACCTATTCCATATGGCTGTTATGAAGGTTAAATTAAATAATTATAAGGCTCCTACCCCTCCTGTTCTTTAGCTTTGCCATTTTGGCTGGACTGCAGATGACCTAAGGACATAGAATAAATCTCATGGTTTCTTGAATTTCCTACGTTGCCTAAGTTGATACATCCTCTTCCTGATACATGAGATGAAATGTGATTCAGTATATGTACAAGGCAGTAGAGTGTATTGTTGAAGAATCACCTATATTTGCTCACTTGAACAAGAAAATGTATAAGTAAATAGCATTATGGAACTCCCCGTTTTAAGTTCTTTTATTCTCTTCTTTTTGAGTCTTAGGTTCTTCAACTGTAAACTGAGTGGGTGAGACTGTCTGTAATGTTCTTTCTTGTTCTGACTAGCTTATGTTATGACATGTAGACATTTTTTTAAAAGGAATGTTGTGCTCTTTTAAATTAAAACAATAATTAAATGCTTCAATAATATGAGAAGTTCTATAAAAAAATTTTTTTCACTTTAAGAAGACCCTGGTCTTTTCTTGTCTTCTTTCATTGCCTTGGTTTTCTATAAAGTAGTGATCAATGTGTATGTTCAGTTTTGAGTTCTTTTCTTTCTGCTTTTCAGTGTTACTCTATCTTGTTCCAGGTATATTAACATGGAAACTTGAATTCACATTGTTGATAAGTTAAGGAACTAACCTTTTTTTTTTTTTTAATTGTTCCTTGAAGCTCTGAACTTGAACTGTTAGGGTAGTTTTTCTATTTTTGAATCTGTAGAATATGAGTAGTATCTTAAAAAATAATGATAGAATGGAATTGAAGATATCACATTTAGAATGATTTCATGAAATGTTTAGCAGTTTATGTTTATAAGTGGATATGTGTATTTTCTAGATCATGTGTGTTAAACCATACTCTAATAAAAACACAGAGGGAAAAAACTTAAGTGTAAACGGTGTACTGTTATAAGTTCTTTGGTTAACATGCTTGCCTACACCTTTTCTTTGGTCTTCTATTATATTAGCTCTATCTGAGGAATGCTAAAACATAAATGTAGTCTACATCTTATAAGCCATTATTTTATAATTAGCTCTTTTAAATTCATTTTATATGATTCTTGTGTTTAAAGTGAAAAAACTTTTGTCCAGTCTTGATATCAAAGCAACATTCACTTTATCACTTCCTCCTCTCCTTCTCTTCCTTATGTCAGTAACAGTCATCTCATTCAGCTCCCCTCCTCTTGGTTATTTTCCTAAAACACTCATGCACCCATGCATGCACGCACATATATTCACCCACTGCTGTTTCTAATTAATTCAGAGTCTTTCTTAGTGAATGACTCAGCATGATCCAGTAGCCTGTCTCTTTGGGGAACCCATTTTACCAAGTAGTCAATGTATTTTCAATACTTAATCCATATCATGGGCTGCACAAGATTCATATTTCTTCTAGTTTACTATTTTAGTCGAGCTCAGTTACAAATACCTAGGCATATGTTAGGATAGGATTTTAAAAATTATGGAATTCAGGTTTAGAATGAAGAGATTCCCAGGACTGGAAGAAATTTCTGTGTTTCAGAAGTAAAAGAGGATTGTTTTTTATTAGAACAGCTAATCCTAAAATTTATCTGGAACCACAGAAGACCCCCAAATAGCCAAAGAAATCTTGAGAAATAACAGAGTGGGAGGTATCATGCTCCTTGATAATCAAACTGTACCACAAAGCTGTAATAATCAAAACAGTATGGTACTGTCATTAAAATATATATGGATGAATGGAATAGAATAGAGAGCCCAGAAATAAATCATCATTTATATGGTTAATAAATCTTATGACAAAAGAGGCAATGAATACAGTGGGGGTAAAGTCTCTTCAGTAAGTGGTGTTGGCACAACTAGACAGATAACATGTAAAACAATGAAACTAGACCACTTTCTTATACCATATACAAAAATAAACTCAAAATGGATTAAAAACTTAAATGTTAGACTTGAAACCTCAAAACTCCTAGAAGAAAACACAGTAAACTCTTAGCTATGTTGTTTTGGATTTATCTCCTCAAGCAAAGGAAACAAAAGAAAATAAATAAACGAATGGGACTACATCAAGCTAAAAAGTTTTGCACAGCAAAGGAAACCAACAAAACTAAAAGACAACCTACTGAATGGGAGAAGATATCTACAAATTATACACCTGATGAAGAGTTAATATCCAAAGTATACAAAGAACTCATACAACTTAACTCCAAAAAACAAACAGTCCAATTAAAAAATGGGTAGTGGACCTGAATAGACCTTTCTCCCAAGAACACAAACAGATGGAAGGCATATGAAAGGATGCTCAATGTCACTAATCATCAGGGAAATGCAAATTAAAACCATACCTGTTGGAATGGCTATCATTAATAAATCGACAAATAGCAAGTGCTGGTGAGGATGTGGAGAAAAGGGAACCCTTGTGCACCGTTGGTGGGATTGCAAGTTGGTACAGCCATTATGGAAAATAGCTTGGAGGTTCCTTAAAAATTAAAAATAGAACTACCTTATGACTCAGCAATTCCAACTCAGGGTATTTATCCGAAGGAAAAAAAAACAAGAATTTGTAATGATATTTGTACCCCTATGTTCATTGCAGCATTACTAGTAATAGCCAAGATATGGAAGCAACCTAGATATTCTAGAGGGTATTATGCTGAGTGAAATAAGTCAGACAAAGACAAATACCATATTATCTCACTTATATGTGGAATCTAAAAAAACAAAATAAATGGATAAACAAAATAGAAACAGGCCCATAGAGAACAAGCTAATGGTTACCAAAGGAGACGGAGTAGGGGATGGTAATAAAAAAAGTGTAAAAGAAGATTATTTTAAATTTATTTCTCTTCATTTTTAGAATGAATTTTGTTTGAGCAGTAGTTGGTACCGAGAAAAATCATGTTGTTAACTGGTGAGGGGAGGAAAGACCATAGCCTGAGGATTGCATAATGATAGAACAGCATGGACACCATGATTTTTTGTTTTCAACTGTTTGTTAAGAACTATGTTATGGACTTTGGGCAGTGCCTGCACTGTGTTCCAGAAGTTCCTTTATGTAAATTCCTACTCACCCATGCTGTACTCCAGTTATTAAAAGTGCAGAAGAATTGAGTTACCATGAGACAGCTCTTGATATATCCCTGGTGGTGGGAATCCCCTGGGGAGTGGGAGTTCCCCGGGTTCGCAGTCATTGATGGCATCTCCTGGGGCCCAGGTAGAGGCTGAGCAGGGTGGATGGAGATTCAGGCGATGGCTGGTGCTTGTTTCCCTGGTGACCAGAAGATGACTGGAACATGTAGTTATAATGACTTGATCTGATATCTCCATATTGTTTTCTGTCTCTTGTACTCTTGTGTATAGTGACACACTGCATACATTTTCCTGTTTCTCAGTTGGTGTTGGTGGGCAGGCTGTGAAAGTGTAATGTTTGAAAATGTTTCATTGACATCTTACTACATGGTAGCCTTGCTTTTGTGTTGCCTTTCAGAATTAAAGCCATAGAGAGTCCGAACAAAGAAGATGACACCCAGTGGCTCACCTACTGGGTGGTGTATGGTGTGTTCAGCATTGCCGAATTCTTCTCCGACCTCTTCCTGTCATGGTTCCCCTTCTACTACATGCTAAAGGTATGTTGGCTGTTCCTGAACTGCTGTTTCCTTCCATCTATGTATTTGATTTGCTCCCAACCCCTAAAACAAACTCCATCTCAGGACCGATAAACAAAGAATAGGAACGAATGCTCGAATGTTGGATATCTGTGGCTCTGCCTTAGATCATATAAACAGAAAGACAAGATTCAACATGTCTAACATTTTTTTGTATGCTGTCTTGGAAACAGCCAAAGCAATTGTGTGTTTAAGATGTGTTTGATAATGATAAAAGATGGAAATACTAAGACCTAGCACAAACACTGCTGTTTGCCAAGATCTTATCTTCATGCAGTGTTATCTACATTTCATGCAGAAGGCATTGCAAATGTTGGCAGGCCATTGATTATTCAAAATGGGGAGCGGGATCATTATTTCTGTAGTGATAAAGGCCATACCCCATTATTTCTTATATAGGTTGGGAGGAAAAATATGAAATTGGCTCTCTGAGGAAGTCATTTTAATAGCTGGCAGGTGCAGCCTGACACACCTCGTTTGGCAGAGGAATGGCCCCTTTACCACCATGTGTGGAAAAGGAGTAGGAAGTTGAAATTCATTCCCAATGGGGCCTGTATCGACTCCAGATTGGCACCAGAGGTTAATGAGAATAAGAAACTTCACACCTTTTAATAGAGTGGTTCTTTCTCCCTAAATGGGACAAGCTGTCTTCAGTTGATTCCTCAAGTGTCTTACATGGAAGCGGCCCTGCTTCCCATTAGTTGCACAAGATGTAAACAGTCTGGTTCCCAGGGCCAGACTTCCCAAGCTGGGGAGGGTGGTGTGTCCAGCCCTTGTGAATTCTAGGTCCTCTTCTTTCCCTTCATAGTCTTAAGTATTCGTTTTAATACAAGTTTTGCATCACGTAGTTTAAAGACTCAAATAGTTCTATAAGATTTTTTAAGAACAGCAGTTCTGCATCCCTGTGCCCCATGCATTGTTTTCCTTAAAAGCAACCACTATCCCTTCATTTATGGCAGATTGTTTTGCTATGTGTCTAAGCAACATTCTTTTTTAGTCATCTTTTAGTTTTCCTATTTTATGCTTTAGCTCTTGATTCTCGCTGGAAGATGAAGATTTGGCTCTCTTCTTATGCCGGCCAAACACGTGCAGTCTTCCCACATCCCCATCTTCCTCAGGTGTCTGCATCATAATTTTGGGTAGGCAGACATTCACCACTTACATTACTATGACTTTGTAAATACTGTTTAGTTGGGCCATCTAGTATACATGTAGTATTCTTGCAGTATTTTATTTCCCCTAGAACTAATCATTGTTTTCTTATTTAGGAGACCTATGTCTCATGTCCTTATTGTTTCAATTTGTCCTACTTTTTCTGCATTTCTACTTCCTTTTAAAAATTTTTATCTAAAAAAATTTAGATTTAGGAAATTAGATACAGGAAGCTGTCTCATTCTTTGGTCTCCCTCACTGTAACCACCACCATGTTGATATTATCTCAATTTTTATTTCTGGGTAATTATGGATATATTTTTTCTTGTTTTTTGGTTTTAGCTATTTTAGAAATCTGTTTATATTTTCCTTCTGGGAGATCTTCTCAGTCACATCTTCCAATTTTCAAGTTTGTTCCATTCTGTTATTTATGTTATACATTGTGTTCCTTATCTGAACTATTATATTTTTCATACCTAATATTATTACTTGGCTCTTTCCTATTTGTTTTTTGTTTGTTTCATATTGCTGTACATTTTTAAAATATAGTTAGTAATCCAGTTTAAAAGTCTTGGTCATTCAGTTCTAATATTTCTGCTGCTGACAGGATCCATGTTGATTGTGTTGTCTTTCTTTTGAAATGGTTGTACTTTTCAAATACCTTCTTATTTTGGCCTCTAAGCCCATTTTCCTCCAGGGTTATCAGCTACTCTGCTGGGAACTGGGAGAAAGGCCACACCCCAATTTGTGCCAGTCCTAATAAGCTCTTGGTAGGGCTGGGTGAGTTCTGGGGTAGGGAGCCCCAGGCAGCAGAGGAACCACAGTTAATCACTGTTCCCTCAGAAAACAGCTTTTCAGGTCAAGGTGTCACCCTTTGCTCCCCAAACAGTATTAGAAGGAGATACTGTTAAATTGCAATTCACATCTGTAGGGGTTGGAGCAGGAGGTATTGAGAAGGAACTGCCCTGGCAACTTAGTCCCCATCTGTTTTCCTCAGTGCCATACAAGGACAGGACTTCTATGCCAAAACCTTTGTTTTACAAAAAAGTATGAGATAATTTTTTATCTTGGAGGTATGGAGCAAAGACATAACATAAAAGTCACAAAGAAAAAGATTTGATAAATTTGACTAAATAAAATTTTTAAAAATTAAATGTCTATGTGACAATGGGCAGCATAAACAAAGTTAAAATAATAACAGACTAGGGGGACATATTTACAACATTTACAACAAGGAATTAGTATATAGAATATATAAAAAATGTTTACAGATAAAAGAAAATGGACAAAAATTATAGATATTTCGCAGAAGAGAAAAATATGAGTAGCCAGTTAACATCTCTCTAGTGACCTGGGAAATGATAGTTAAAATTGTGAAGTATCATATTATGCTTATGTAATTGACAGATATTTAAAAGATTAATATTGTCTGTTTTTGGTGAATATATTGGAAAATGGATGTGTGGTGGTGGTGTCACAGTATAAATTGGAATGGCCTTTTAAGGGACCTTTTGACAGTTTCTTGTCAAATTGAAAATTTTCTTTCTAGCAGTTCTTAAGTATGTATCCTAAGGAGATATTCGCTCTGTATAAGAGAGCTGTATAAAGATATTTATTACAGCATTGTTGGTTTATAACTAAAAATTATAAACAACTGAAGTCCATCAGCAAGTAAATGGTTAAATGAATTAATAGTACATCCAGTTAAGGGGAATGAAATGATCCATATGTTCGGATATAGAAATTTTTAAAAATTATATAAATTATAGAACGTTATATGTAGTATGACATCATTCATGGTAAAAATAAAAACAAGAAGCTAAATAGTTTAAAATTTTAAATGAAAACATGCTCATTATAGTATATCTATCTTTTTAATTCTGAATGGCATTACCACAGAAGGCCTCGTAAGACAGCTGAAGAATTTTCCTTTTAAACAAATGGAAAAAATTGGTCTATGGGAAGATTTAAGATTTCAGAGCTTGCTAGATATTTTTTGTTTTTGTTATTCAAAGACATTTAGCACTTATAAACATATTTTTATAATCTTTAATTTGGATTCCATGTATTTTAAAATTCAAATAATTTTGAACCCCTTCATAAGATCCATCTAATGGTAGTGACATCACAATACTCTCTCTACTGGAAAGAAACTTGGCCTTTGCCTTGAGTCCACCTCCTTGCTGCAGTGGACGGTATCTTGTTAGCAGAACCGTCAGGCCGGTATCTGACCTCAAACCTCTGAAACATGAGCACGGCTGACTTCTATTCAGCCTGCTCCTGGTCACCTCTGCTAATAGAAGAGGTAGAGAGAGGATCCAAAATAAGAGCTGATCATTAAATCATTTATATTTTGTTTTGAAATACATTACAAAAAGTGCTTGGCAGCAAATTTTCTTCCCTAACAGTAAAATGAATGTGCGTCCATTAGTAATCCTTTGCTGTATGACAATGAGAGTGAATTTGCTGCATATGTTTCAAGTAGATAATATACTTGAGATGATTTAAAATTGTTTATGCTGTCAATCAAAATGCTTTCCACCTGCATTCGTAACATATTTTGAGTGGCTTTAATGAACAGACTGAGAATGTCTCTGAGTTGCAGAGTATGTAGGAGTTGTTTTAAGGGAGAGTATCCCAGGTCAAGGACTAGCAAAGATCTTACCTAAGCCGTTGCTACACTCACCTGGTGATTGTATGGGAGGGTAAAAAAAGGCCTGCAAATAAGAATGTGTTTTAATATTTTATCTTTTGCAGAATTACTATTGGTGGTTTTGTACTGTTTTTCATTTTTCTAAAGCAGCCTACAAATTGGAGGTAAATAAGAGGGACTAGTGGTTTGACATCAAAGGTGAGCTGAGAAGATCACATAACAATGGACTGAGCGAGAAACAGTGGATCATGAGCTGAACAGAAGGGTTTAAAAATAAATGTAAAATCCCCTTTTTCTCTGATAATGAAAATAGCATATACTCATTCCGTTATTCAGCAGATATTTATTTAGAATCTCTATGTGCCAGAATCTCCTAGGTCTGGGGGACACTTTAGTGAATAAAACAAAGTCCCTGATGTTATCCTGTTTACATTTACATTTATGTGTGCTGGGGTGAGGTGGACGCATGTTTTAGAGAAGGAAGAAAAAGGCATTTGTAATTCTATCACTGTTAACATTTGGGTCATCTTCCTATTTTAATTTGCAAATATATTGGTCTATATATATAAATACAAGTAGAAGTGGTATATATATTATTGTCTTAACCGTATATGTATGGAACCATATATGTATGTCTATATACATAAATACAAGTAGAAGTGCATATATATATATATTATTGTCTTAACTGTATATGTATGGAACCATATATGTACGGTTAAGACTATATACTATATACAATTATATAGTTCACGTTTTTCAGTTAACACAATGAGTATTTTCTCATGTTACTTAATATTCTTTGACCTAGTTGTCTATTCCTTATAGGTAATAATTTACCCACTCCCCAATAGATAGATATTTAGATTCGTTTTTCTCTTTTAACTAATGTGCAATGAATATCTTTGCGCCTCATCTTCAGCCTCATTTAAATCATTATTTTAGATTTTTAAAACAAGGTTGAATAAACTCTAGCAAGTTTTAAGTCCTAATCCAGTCTGTCACCTGTCTGGATCTGTTTCACCTATTGACAGAGCATAACATTTCTCTACTTAATTTTGTAGTTGGCAAAAAAAGATAGAGAAATCTCCCCCTTCACATGTTTGTTTTAAACTTCTGTTTGTGCATTCTGAGCAGTGTGTTTTAGCTTTAGCCC